GGACCCACCGACTCGGCCACGCAACGAACGACCTTGCGGAAGCGGTTGCACTCCGGCAGGAGGACTCGCGCCGCGTCCAAGTCCTCCTCGAGCTCCACGAGGAGTCCCCTCACGGTCGCCAGAAACCGCCGCTCTTCCTCTTCCTTCTCCTTCTCTTCTCTCTCCGCCGCGAGAGATTCTGCGCCGCCTCCCGGCTTACCCTCGTTCTTCTTCCCCGCCGCTGCCACCTCCGCTCCAGCAGGACTTCTCGGTTCCGTTGTTCCCGTCGCGTGCCGCTGCTCTAATTTCGAGTCGGCAGCGGCGACAAGCCCAACGCCGTCGTGCGTTGCCTTGGCCTCCGCCCGCCTTGCCGCCGCCGCCGCCGCCCCGTCCCTATCGGCGGCAGCGGCCGCGTCCTCTAGGAGGCTAGCGTCGGCGACCGAGGACGATGCGAATGACGAGGTTCGCCAGGAGTCCTCCCCCTCTCTCCATCCGTCGGGGTCCCACCCGTTCTCCCCGCAGGTAGAGCTGTCGCCGTCCCCGTCCCCGTCGTCGTCGAGGATACCGCTCACGGACGGTCGTCTTCCTCTACCCGCCGCACCCACCCGTCCTCCAAGGCTATCAACGCCGACTCTCGCCCCGCCCTCGCGGCCGGTGCTACCGTTGAAGAACATCCCCACACCACCGTTTCCGGCCGAGCCTCCAGGCTCCATGCGAGCGCGATCGCCGCAGCCTGCGGCGGTCGAATCGGGTCTCGACAAACGCCTTCCAAACGACGACGAGACCTTCGCCGAGTGCTCTCCCTCGTCGAAGATGCCGTGATTGTCGTCACCACGCGCCGGGGGCGTTGCCTCTGCCGACCCCGGCGGTTCCACCGCCGTCAGCCCACCTGACGGCGGGGACGGCGGCGGCAGCGGCGGCGGCGGTGCCGGTGCCGGTGCCGGCGGCTTTGGCGCCGAGGCGCTTCTCTCCCCGCTTCGCGATGGCGGCACGACTCGGGCCTCCTTGTTGCTATTGGGCTCCCTGCCGGAAGATGTCGCCGCGCCGAAGGCCGTCCACGCCACGCTGACCAGCCCCAGCACGCAGAGCACAAGGATCGGAAGCCCGCCCAGCGCCGACGGCTCCAGCGGGCCCCCCTTTTGTGTGTTCGATATATTTAGGAAGAGAGACGGTTTTCAGCGAAATGGCAGGTGGTATTG